CAGGTTTAGGTTAGACAGTTAGTTGCGTATCCTTTACAGGACGTTGCAGAACCAACCCTAACTGCCCCTGGCTGTTGTGTGGTTTCTCTCGGCAAATTTACGTCCAGTAGTTTGCCATTGCTCACTGGACGGTCGGCTTTCTTGATACCACTGTCGAAACCAACGCAAGGCGCATTGCCCGCAACTGGGATCGAACCCGGCATCCCGGCATTTCGAAGCGAAGCGTTCGCATCGACTTAGCCACAGAGCCGACTTAGGCTAGACAACAATTGATTTAAACAGTGTGTGAGGGTTAAAATATAGACGTTATATGAGAGGAGAGGAAATTGAACATACGCTTCATAAACATGGCAGATTATACAATAACTGAAGCCAGAACACAAACCCTCTCCGAAGGTCAGCAGCACAAACGACTAGATAAACTACAAGTACCATTTTATCTCTTTCCGTGTCTAAGTTTCTAACAACACCTTTTCCTTTGAGTTGTATTTCGCACATCCTGTTCGTGTTGTGTCTGTTAACACAGGCATGGTCAATATGTACACAAAACTGCAGGTCGGATATAAACGCAGTGGTTACTGCACATTCCAAGTTAATGTTGCATGTTTTTACAACCCCCTGCCGTACTCAGGGTCCCTAACAAGCGTTAGCAGACATAGTACGAATAGCTGCAAATTCGTTGCGGAACTCAATTCAGTTAGTGGCTTGTCAGTGTTTGGACAGAACCTAATGTTAAAGTTTTATGATATCTCCTGCTGTTGTTATTTGCAGTTCTGATGTATTGTATTAATGAGGTAGATTTGGTAATGATGAAGTCTACAGATAATTAAACTGATACTTGTTTGCTGACAATATAGTTGTACTGAAATCAGTTATTAATTATACTGTGTCTGCTGGTAACAGTAATGTTTTCAAGCACGTTAATTAATGTTTACAGGAGCATTTGAACAGTCTAAGTTTTCCCCGTGTGAGTTCCGGGGCCCCATTGTATGGGGGGGGGGGGGGGGGGGACAGACTCACTGACTGCCCAATAATCATGTCGTAAGAGTCGACTAATTGGGAGCTTCCTTCGAAGTCGTCGAACCTCTGCCTGAAAGATTAGGACTAGAGTACAGAAGTGGACGAACAACCAGAACTTTCTGCCGGAATTTTCGGCAGGTGAACGCGAAGAAGAAGAAAAAGAATAAGAAGAATAAGAATAAGAATAAGAAGAAGAAGAAGAATAAGAAGTAGAAGGAGAAGAAGAAGAAAGGAAGAAGAACGCTAAGTTTAACATGCATAAGATAAAACATGAAAATAATTACGACAAAACAGAAGTAAGGCAGATAAGCAGAATTTCTAGTCCGCTATGTATAAAGCTGAAGCAAGTTAAAGGATTTCAGTATCTAGCAATTATTTTCTAAGCGGAATACGAAATAGAGAGGGACACCGAAGCAAGATGTCAAAGGTCAGTATACTTATATACCACCTAGCAATTTTTTAGGACACGAAACATAAGTATGACCGACGGAAAACTGATAATTGATGATGATGATGAAAACAAATTACCCATTTCTAATAAATGGACGTGCACTCAAACCCACATACTAGTGCCAATTATGCTCATTACGACATGTTTTTACTAAAGAGAAAACTGTCAAATTTACCACTTGTTCTGTGTAGGTCATTGGTGACCGGGTCGCTAATTGGTTCGCCTGGTTGACACAGTATTTAGGTCTGTCTCCTTTGATCGCACCAACAGTGCAGGAGTCCTTTTCAAGGCTGTTGGTGGTGTCCAATTCTTAGCCATTTTATATGGCGCACATAACCTAGTCACAAATTTAACCTAAAGCTCTCCCTTCAGGGATACTGGTTGAACGTGACGATTGCTGTTCTAGCAAAGCACTTACCTACCTGTGTAGTCGGGGTAAAGGGGGGGGGGGGTATCTTTCAGCCTGTGGGTGTAGGGCCTACACGCTCATCAGCTTAAAATCTTAAAATTAACACTAGCGAAGTGAGATGTTTGATAAGTTCCGCTAGCTTAACCTGCCGAGACCGAGTGAGAAATGATACTATCGGACATATTATAGGAACATCTTGCACCAAAACCATTAGGAGCTATGAAGATCGAATGGTTCGGTCATGTCGTCTACAGAGAGCAACGCTTTACAGATACAGCGGTAACAGACCCTGAGGTCGACTACACAGAATATGGACCGTAAAAATATCAGAGACACTGACAAGTGCTTTAGACAAAGCAAACAGAAAGGCCTAATACCCGAAATCTCTTTCTGCCCTGACGTCGTGAAGCATTCAAGAAGTAGAGAAAAGAAGAAGATAAAGACGATGATGACGAATTAATATTTTGTCTTCTGAAATTATTACGTGAAACGAACGACCCTCTGCACCCTATTGGCGTATCAAACATACGTGTTTTCTTTTGGCTGCACATTCATTACAGGACATTGCAGAATCAATCCCAACTTTTTCTGGCTGTTGTGATTCTTCTATCCAAATTTTACGTCCAGTTGTTTGCCATTGCTTTCAGAACGGTGACCTCACGGTACCAATGTCGAAACCAACGCAAGAAGTTGTACTGTCAAATTGCTCGCAGCTAGGATAGAATCAGACACCCCGGCGATGAAGCGCGTTCTCAACGCCAAAGCCACAGACGCCGACAGGCATATACGGTGGAACCCAATGGTTGATGTGGTCAACCATGTGGTCATCACCACACCCACCGCCTTTGTTTCTCAAGACATTTCCTGTATTCATTTTCCGACCTGGTTTGCCTGGGAGCCCCTGATTTAAAAAATGGAAGCAATACAGATTCGAACCAAATACCTTCAGGCTATAGACAACCGTCTGGGCAATGTGCTTCCGCGATCTCTAAGTCTGAATTCCAACATCTCCGAGGCCCCAAAATGGGGTGATATCAAATAAAAAGCAGAAGAAGAAGAAGAAGAAGAAGAAGAAGAAGAAGAAGAAGAAGAAGAAGAAGAAGAAGAAGAAGAAGAAAGAAGAAGTAGTAGAAGAAGAAGAAGAAGAAGAAAATGAAAGAAGAAGTAGTAGAAGAAGAAAAAGATGAAGAAGAGAAGACGACGAAGAAGAAGGAGAAAAAAGAAGAAGAAGAAGACGAAGAAGCACCATCATCAGCAGCACCAGCATCAGCAGCAGCAGCAAAAGTAGCAGCAGCAGCAGCAGCAAGAAGAAGAATAATAATATAATAATAATAATAATATAGTAATTATAATAATAATAATAATAATAAAAATATAAGAATATAAGAAGAAGAAGAAGAAGAAGAAGAAGAAGAAGAAGAAGAAGAAGAAGAAGAAGAAAGACGAAGATGACGAAGAATAAGACTGATGGCCCGTTTCTGTCTTCCTACTTCCGTACCTATTCAGACGAGGGGGCAATGATAGTGCATAGCCTATACAGGTTTCCTATGCTAGTGAGAAAAGCAACAGTGTCAGACTTGGTTAACTTTCCACAAGTGACTCTTGTGGAGATTAATATCAACTCTACCTGACCTGCTGTGTTTGATTCGCTTTGTAATTGCTTGTGCGAACATCACGGGCGCCGGTACCCGGCGGCTCTGCTTCCTTGAGCCCCTCACCCTCAATAGTTTCTAGGAAGACATCCCCCCTCCCCCTCCATTTTACAGACAACAAATATAGAAGGTCTATTTTTAGTTTATACATTTCATACAATTTCAAAAATATATGTTTCCTATTCTGCATAAAATAATAATAATAGTAATAATAATTGCACAGTTAACCAAAGCTCATCCCCTTTTTACTCTTTGTTGACGCCATACTCCAATAACTTTCTGTGGGGCTGCCTCAAAACGTTCCTAAAATGTATAATAATAACAATACTAATATTATTATTATTTTCGAAATTAAACAAAACGTGGCCTTCCCGAACTTATACAATTTTTGCCGGGCGGGGTGGGTGGGTGCCCTCCCTCTCGCGTGATTTTTTTGTGGGGGCGTGCCTGATGAACTTGAGCGAGTACATAACCAGAGTATATAAACATGAGCATAGAAACATGAGTACATAAACGATGATATGTTAACAATGATGTTTTGCTTGTTTCTTCAACAGTATTTATATAGTGGGCCTTACAACAACTTCATGAGACAGGAAAGAAACAGCGGTTATGTCATAATTGACAACAATAATATTGTCACAAGAATCCAGACAGACAAAACAAAACTAACAGATAGTAGTGTAGTGAAGAGATACATGCATTGTCTAAGCATGAGTTTAACAGAAGCTTAAGTGCACTCGTGGGAGAAATCAGCAGTAACAAGATACACAGCAGCCAAATGTGTTGTCACATCATGAAGAACATACAATAGCTGTTTTGCAAAAAAAAAAAAAAAAAACAACAACAACACACTAATGTTGTCTTAAGAGAAGAAACCACACAGCACTTGCCAGACAAGGAACAGAGACTTGTGTTGTCACATAAAGAAAAACATACAACAGTAGCCCTACACAGCAAAGGCACTGGTTTTGCTGCATTATGAGGAATATATACACGCGCTGGCAAACACAACACAAAAGTGAGGTCACATAAAGAAGAACATCCATCAGTTGCGAGGTGCAGCACAATAACAAGTGTTGTTATTTGAAACATATCGTCCCATAAACATTACCAAAAAACAAATGAAGTCAAGCATTAACAATACATTTTGGAGTAATCGTGCAGATTGGCTTTCTCCGCGTCTGTAATGCACGTACACACCCAAAATCTGACAGACCCTTCAGAGTCGTTTGAGAGCTAGGCTAACTACTTATACTTAAATTGGCGGATTCATTTTAAAGTTTGTTGTATTATAATCCTAACTTTCAACAGACTGTTTCTTTCATCATACACAAATTACTATACACCATCTAAAGAACTGCTTTCCACCAGAAATATATGTTAATGTAACTGTAAACACCGAAAACATTTAGCATGTAGTGTTAAAAACAATGCATTGAATAGTCTCGTATAACATGCATCTTTCATGGCCATCAAGTCAAGTCATGCACGTAACCTAGGCAAACGACCACTCAAAATTGTGGATAGCCCAAAGCCTAGGAGCGGTTCCAAGGCCAAGGCCCCGGCGAGATCGAGTGCTGGATCCAAGATGAAAGCCAAGGGGCCTGGCAGCGCCAAGGAAGACTCCACGCTCAGCAACCACAAGACTGCAAGCACCAGCACGGTAGATCCAAACGACGCCGGGGCCAAACCAACAGAAAATGGCGGGGATGAGCATAGTGAAGACACCAGTAATAGTCCCGTCGATCAGTTACAGGCCAACCAGGAGAAGCTACTCCAGGTTCTTTCTGGAAATTTGGAAGATTTACCCCCGCTCAGTTCCAAAATCGTCAGAATATTTACCAGCTCCACATTTACTGGTAAGTGGGTATTTGTTTGCTATTACCATTTCATCCACTTTGAATCTGTCTCGACTGACTGACTGCTTTCTCCCGTCCTGTCTTCTATTTATCCCGTCCTGTCTTTTATTTCTCCCGTCCTGGCTTCTATCTGAAAGCTTGATTACTGAGATTACAAAATCCTAGTACAGATGGCAGACCAACAGGACAAAACCCAGGTAGGCAGGCAATCGCAGTTTCAACGTCACAGCAAACGGGTTACGTTTGTAAACAAACTGGCACAGACTGTAGTCTCAGCAAAGCCAGTAGCACAGAAGCGCATTAAATGCACAAGGCAGCCGTCAGAAGTGCCAACACAAACAGTCTGGAACTAGAAATGCAGTTTATCGTCGACTGAAGCAGCATTTAGAACAAATAATTAGATGCACACACACAATTATTCACAAAAAGCACCAATAGTAACAGGCCACTTGCCATTGTCTCAGTCGCAGTTTATAACATAAACCACGCTGGCGACAGTGGAAACGAATTCCAAATTAAATCTGCAGCTCACAGTGTCTAGTCATGCACTCAACTAAGTAGTTGGGCGACGTAACCATATCCTTTAGCCTTCATATGAGGAAAATGCAGCGGTTTACTATGGTTAGAAGCCAAAAGCTTGCCACGACTAAAAAACAGTAAGCCTGCCTGTAGAGAATATTGACCATATGATATTTTGCACAAATGTTTTGCTTCCCATATAACATATTCTAGCAAGTAAATGCCCCCCCCCCCAAAAAAAAAAAAGGGGAGAGGCGAGGACTGACAGGGAACAGGAAGAAGGGCAGTCTGTGAGTGAGTGAGAGTGAAAGAGAGAGGAGAGTTGGGGGGGGGGGGGTGGGGGGTGGGAGGGTATGCCCTACACCAAATACTTGTGGATTACTGTACAGAAGCATTGATAAACATTTTCCTCTTAGATTAATTAGTCATTTAGTGATCTCTCTCTCTCCTCCTCCTCTTCTTTATCTCTCTGTTTTGTTTTCTTATGTGTACATGTACCTCTCTTTCCTCTCTATTTTGATTTGTGAATGCTTGCAAAGTGTTAATTATTATTAATTGTTGTCACAACTATTACTAGTATGTTTAAGTGTATGTATGCATATATGCATGACAATAGTATTTTATTCATAAATGTATACTGGAACATAATGCTAATGGTATATGAGAGAAACATGATAACTTTTGTACACCATTAAAATATGCGTGTGAGCATACAGATAGTCAGCAGTCCAGGATTCAAGTTTAAGGTGTCTCCTTCGTGCCAAAGTACTGCATGGTTGTGGAGTGCACAATCGTTAACGAAGGCCTCCAGGTAGTACAGGGGCGACACCTTGCTGGATGGGTGTTACGCCCCTGGCCCTTTCCCCAGCACGAGGGCACCGCTGGGGGTGACCGTTAATAAACCCTCACTACTTCCGGTCAAAATGGACGCTTGGCACGGTCACTGTTGTGAGCCGTGGCAGTTTTTTTTTTGCTTTTGCCGAACGGTGGCCGATGCATCTTTGCTCCATTTGTAGACTGAAAGGATACTTTTGTCGCCCAGCTTCTGAGTTGAGCGCATGGCGTGACACTGTGAGCCGCTGATTTAATTTGGAGTGTTTTTCTACTGTGACCAACGTGGTTTTGTGAATTGTGGATTCAGAAAATGGCGCTATACCTGTTGTCGCAATATTGGTGGTGCCATTATGTAATTAAAATTGATCGCGTGTGCAACTGCTGATCTGTTGGTGACTTCTGCTAAAATCCATGATGAACTGCATTTCTAATGTCGGACTGTTTGTGTTAGCCCTTCGCATGACTAACGTATGCTTTTAATGCGTGTGTATGCTAGTGCAAATGCTGCGACAGCAGTTTGTCAATCTTTCCACAAGGGACTGTGATAAACATTAAGTGTGTTTTTCGTTGGCACAGGAGCGGAGCAACTATGGGGTGACCCATTTGCTATGAAGCTGAAACAACGATAACCAGATTACTATACTTTGTATGGCGACAGTTTCGCAAAGTTTAAAGTAACTTTTTAGATGTGCCAAATGGGAAAGGATACCCAGTGGAACGCGCCAGCGATTGGATTCCTATCTCGCTTTTGGCATGACACATGATACCAAGTTAGGGGAGAGGCGAAAAAGGTGAAGTGAGAGAAGGAAAGGGCGAGGGAGAATCTAGAAAGTAAAAGAGATAAAAAGAGAGAGAGAGAGAAAGAGGTGAGATTGAAATAAGAGATAAAAGGATTAGGTGTTATACATATATTTCGTATGGCAAACGATTAGCAGAGTGTAATAAAAAAAAGTTTAGATGTAAGTAAAGGTCCCTTTCCTCGCCTTTATGCTGCATCGGGAATATAGGGCTAGACTTATTTTCGTATAGATCAATCGGCACTTGGTGGGTGATGTGGTCAGCATCACGCCGGTCGCCTATACTTCCCAGGACTGCACCTGCTACCCACTGAAGGCTGGGTGGACCTGTGAGTCAAGGTAATTTTAACGTTTAGATGTATCATGTGGGAAAGGTTACCCAATGGACAACGAGAGTTGATAAATCAGCTGAAGATAAAAAACAAGTATCTCATATCTCTGGAATAATTATAGCTGTTGTGAGATGATCGTCACAAGTACTGTATTACCTCAGCGTTGTTAATCATTGTACTGTACACGGGTGTTCGTTACACTGGCAGCGTTACGTCTGACGTGTTGGTTCTGGGTAGATATTTTCAGCAGCTGTAACATAAGGTCACGCCTTCTTCCTACTCACTTATTTTATAATTGGCCACATTGAGACCTGCTCTTCCTATATTGACATTGTGATGATAATGATGTTGTAGGAGAGATCTAAACAAGTTCCGGACGAAGAGGTGAAGAGAAGACGCTGGCGCTTACCTAGACCAGACTAAGAAAGTGTGTAGATGGGCCAGGAAACGTGAACAGGTCCAACTCATCCATTGAAACAATATATTTTTTTCTTATCTTCACACAGAAATAATATTCTAAATGCTGGAAAGTCAGCAAGAAAGGATAGTAAGGTGGCGGTGTGGGAGCTGGGAGTAGACACCAGGTTCACGCGGAAGCTACACTTTGAAGGAGAAAATGAAATCAATTGAAGCGGCATACAAAGACTCACTGTAATGAAAACATAACTGGATAGAATTTCAGCCAACTATGGATCTCTGGTAACGCAACGGCAGAGCTTAAGAAGGCCTGCGAAAAACCTCATGCAGCACCCATCTGTCTCAAAGTTTTAAAACGCCAAGAACACTCTTAAAACAATCTATGAAGTTGAACTAGAGAGCAGACAACACAGAAAGACTACACAATTCCAGACGAGAGCACGTAGTAAGACGAGGACAGAAAAACGATACAAACCAAATCGCCATTATATTATTCTTTTTGTTTGATTACAGAAGGTAATCAAGGCAATGAATAAATAGACTCGAGAACTTGGTGACATCTAGCAAAACTGATGACAAGAGGACGCAGGAAAGCAAAGATATAAATACATTGATTGCTGGCAAAGGGCGGGACAAGAGCACCACTTGATTGGCCTTATCGTGTAGGATGGCGAATGATGACCGCCTGTACTTTTCAGCGTGGCGCATGATGATGTTCACTCTTCTAGGGAGAGGGGGCCGTGGGCGATTTTTGTCACTGAAAATGGTGGGCCAAGAAAGTTTCGAGAAACGCTGATGTAGACGGTCTTTAATGTCATCAGTCCATTTCTGCTAAGGCGACCTCTTGCCTTCTATATGGTGTGTTTCTGTAGGTATTTGTTATGACTACATTCTAACAAGATGATAAAAACCATATGATCTTCTATTTCTCAACGAATTTCGTGCATGATGTTATTCCACTAGTCTGTCTGATAGTATAATTTCTTACGTTGTCTCTGATTACAGTATAAATTAATATAAACATTATAGGGCTTAGACATAGATGAAGACACTTGCAAATTTATGACACACTTGTCCAACTTGCAAGTAATGGGTCCATTCTTTCATAATACTGGTAAGATCAAAAAGAAACTGTCATTAGAAGAAGATCATCACCATCATCATCATCATCGTCATTACCACCACTCACAGTCATCTTCATCATCGGTAACTTAATTTTGGACTTTTACCGTTACATTTTGTTGGTTGAACAGTTTGCAATCAGCGCTCGACTGATTTGAGTTGAATTTAACAAGAAATTAAGGGAGACAGCGACAATTTCTTCTTATAGCTCGCAGGCTGTAAACTCCGGCGAAAAGCTATAATTATTCGCCTGTTACTGGACTTTGGTCTTGTTTAAGAACTTGAGTTTTCCATGCATATTCATTTGACAGATCTGGCTGCTCTATATATAGGGACTGCTGGTTCCTCGTATCTCATGCGGAGGCATTTCGACTTCAAAGGAAACACCTCTAGTTAGTCGCCTTTGGCGACATACGTGTAAGTCTACCCCACCCCAACCCAAATGGGCGCCGGAACCAACACGGGGATCAGGGATAACAAACTCTGGACAACCTTGTACCTTGCTATAGAAGTACATGTATATACTTGCACTTTGACTGATACATCTTTAAAGTACTAGAGAGTCAGAGCAATGGAGATGTGTAACTGCATATTAAAGTTGACAAAATACATGATGGTGATGGGGCAAGCTTGTTTCCTTAGATCTCAATGATTCTCGTAGAAGAGAAGCGAAGAATGTTAAAAAAAAAAAAGTCCTTTTGCGTTGTTGTTACCTTTAGAGATGGTTGAATTACTGAACAGTGTTATCTTGAGTGAGATTCACAAACTGAGCTGCATGCAGATTATTGTCTTTCAGACTAGTGTTTTACAAAATGTTGAACATCATGGCCTAGTAAAACACTGAGCATCATGTTATACACACCAAAAAAACAAAGAATAACTAGCATCATTGTGTTTTATACCTAAAGCATTGGTTATCCTTCCGCATTACTGACTGACTTTCTACCCCACCAGCAATAAACACGCGATGACACAAAGT